TTAATCCCCAAGACGTGTAGGACTATTAGGGCTAGCAGGACTGAATTCGGCGCTCCTGAGCAAGCGCTGCGTGGCGCCTTTCCCAGGAAAGATACCCTTATAGCGCCTTATCAAATTTTAACATACCGACCCGGACGCCCACCGCCCGCCCCGCCCACAAATCAGGACGACCGGTCCTGATGCCGGCATCGCTCTGCGAAGTAAAATATGAGGCGGTTGAGTTGGTATGAAGTAGCTGCGATGCTGCATGGAATATGAGCACATACATACACCCGTATCAACCGTAGTGGTTATTGGCACAATGCCAACGGGCAACTCATCCGAAACTGCTTTGCGTCGGGTAGAACAAAGGCTTTTTTGCAGAATTTCGACAGTTTCACTTTGCTTCTTCGCCATTTCCCACTATATAGCACCTCTGCTACCATTTTAGACAAAGTACCAAATCATCGTGCCAACTGCCTTTAGGGACTTTGGCAACCATGACGCAGCTGGCATGGCACCAATGTGATGCGCTGAATCTTTTAGCCAATAGTGGTAATGGTTTGCATGCGATGCCGCTCCTTTGCAAGTCCTGAACTACACTCGAGAAACGATGACAAGAAATGACATATCGACATTAAGAAAAGTGGTTTCAGCAGTGCTGAACTGTCTGCTTCCCAAGGGAAGACAATTTTTTTCTTTTCTGAGCACTGCCGGGCTTTTGTAATCGTCCAAGCCAGAAATACAACAGAACTGCTAGCCAGGATAATTTACATGAGCGATATTTCACATCAGAACAGCAACATACACTGTGTCATGTCGTACTGTTGCTTGAACCGGAGAGTATCAAGAGGCTTTTTTTTCTCGAAAGGAACTGTCCTAGGCCATCAACTATTTCCAACCTCAATCTTATTGCACTTCGCCGCTGGCTGATCTGATTTGGAATTACAAAAACCTCGCGTGCCTTCTTAACCCAGATTCAATTCCTCGCAACAAACGAACATTCTCAGCAGGCGATTAAAGATTCGTAAAGAAAGAACGAGAAAATCCGAGGTGCCACTTGTTCAAAAAGATCTCATTGACCAAATTTTTCACATATCTACTCACTTCTTGTTGTTCTTTTCTCAGCATTTGCCGCCTTTTCTCCATTTCTTCGGATTTCTCCTTCTTCTCAGTAAGGTACCGTTGATGAAGTTCCTCTAGACGGCGTTCCTTCTCCTCTTCTACGCGGACACGAAGCTGTGCCTCTGCCCACGCCTGCAATGAACTTTTTGATGAAACAGTGACCGATAACGTGGCCAGTTATAATCATTCCCTTCTAGAGGCACTAAGCATGGAGTCAAACAGAGGAATATGTAACATTTAGGCGCATTTTTGACCAACATCACTGGAAATAAGCAATTGCTCAAGTCACTTCTGAGTAGACTTGAGTTGTGTGACGTTAGGGAGATGAAAGGCGTTCTTATACTAGGCTATATATGACTGTAGAGGAAAATAGAGCTTTCAGCCACTGTTATTTCTGCTCTTCAGAGCGGCGTGATCAATCGGGGCAAAGTCAAAAAGCTTAAAATGAACCCTGCGGCTTTCAATACCACAGGTTGCTCACTAAGGCTAATGCCGTTTGGACTCCAGCAATTTCGGCACCGAGCTCATTTTTAAATTGCCTAAGTCACCAAATCCGCTAAAAACTTGTATATAGGGGTAGTTTAACATCCTGATTACGAATATGACATTCACTCTTGCCGCTGGCGCTAATGGATGACACTACGATTATCTGCGCTCCGCTAAGGCTGAGCCCAAGAGGTAATCGTAGTGTCATCCGCTTGGCGCCAGCGCCAAGAATAGATTTTCAATAATAGTAATCCACGGGATCGCGGCTGGTAATAACCTTGTCGTACATTTTTCAGCGGTTGTGATTTAGGCAATTGTACTGAAGCTGCAGTGCGCGGAAAACTCTGAGTCCAAAACGGCATTTTACACCTTCACTAACGTCCGATCACAGAATGAAACACCCGCGGTTTTTCACTACCAGCAGAAAGGTTGCTTCACTGACCGATCACTCTGGTAGAAAGCAACTGGGGCAAGCTCAGGAGCCGTGGACTGAACATGTCCCGGCTGCGTTTTTCACCAAAAAAGGCTGCAGCAGGGAGCGCTCTCATTCCCTCCCTTAAATCGCCGGCCCCGCTGCACGGTCACACCAACGCTGAGAGCAGCAACGTCCTCGTGGGCGTTAAATCACCCACAATGAACAAAAACATCGATATTGGATGTCGAAATGATGACCTATCTTATAAAAAGACTGGTGAGTCTATAGGCATCCAATCTACAGATGCGGTTCAAGATCATGTTATATGGTAAAATGTAGAGGACCAAGAAGATAACCAGTGCATTAGGTCAGACATCATTTCGAAACCTGTGGAGACATATAGATGAGAGTGGAACTGTACATTTAGTTAAAACTACAAGCCTCGTCAGCAGGCCATTTTGGGAGACACATCCCCTCACAATCAGTGTTGTGGTACAGGTGCTCGCAATGAGGGCGTAGCCCGTAAGTAACTCCCGCAAGAGAAAACACGGAAAAAAAAAACTTAGGAGAACAAATCTGAATACAGAACCACCCGCATAATCTTAGCAGTGGGCGCCTTGGACAAGCTTGTCGGACGTCGGCAAGCCCAACCAGCAGGAGTCGACGTCAACCAATTCCCGGCAAGGGCACAGGAAATCACCCTACAACGCTCCAGGCAACGTTATGACACAAGCAATTCAGCTTGTAAGCCGTTGTCTTGCAGAGTGAAAGTAATCGTGGTTGCAATGGTTGCAATAATCACGCGTCTCTAGCTTCTTTATCTCGCCGTTTCGAGTGACGAAAGTGGTATATTCTCTGCGAATGCGTAACGATGCCAAACGCACGGAGGCACTTCGGCGGACTACTTATCACGGGAACTGTCTCTAAGGAAGAAATAGAAAAGAATGGCCTGGAATAGGCCTCTTGTATCTTTCACCAGACCCTAACATGGGCTCCGGCGGAAGTGATTGAATGTTGGTTAGTTCTTTTCGCACCCATCGCATAGACCGGTTTTGGCACTACTGGGTTACCTTCGCTTCGGTCTCTGCAGTATACTTTGGAAGAAAAAAAAATGCAAATAGCACCTGTAGAAGTTTCTGATATCTAAGCTGATAAGAGTAATATATTGGATTTTACATTGATGGTGATACTTCAACAAACAAAATAGAGAACGTACCACCTAGTAGACCAATTAATGATGAAAAATATGTGCCTCTAATTTACCCTCACAATCGGCAAAGACTTTTTGGACATGTGTAAGTTTTTTCAGGTTGGAAAATCGGTCTCATATCGCGGAATATTTGATTTACCAATAATTTGCAAGTCATTTTGGGGCGAGTTTTCTAAGCCAAGAACGCGAACGAACAAAACAACATACCTTCCTCGTCTTTACATGCTCTGGTTGTTTCTGCACGTGATATGCTATTTTCAGCTCATTAATCACTCTCTCGAAAGCTTCAGCATCTCTCTCCCTGTAACAAGATTACTAAATTGACAGAGGATAAAAAAGGGGTTGAGAGCTACAAACCTCAAAAGCCGGAGGCACTTCCTTCTGGAATTGATAACATGCCAAATGCGGTGCGTCAGCCACACTTGTTTCTAAGCAAATTCCATTAATCAAAGCATATTCCTTCAACAGAAAAGAACGGAAGTTAAAACGAACTCCCCAGTGAAACATCCCAAACCTTCGGAATACCCTGGTCATTTCCTTGAGTGTGCACTAGTTACACAAGAATGTTTCCTTTGGATCTCACTCATTCTCACTGTAAGGGCACTGTATGACTGTATGGAAATCTTTACCTTATAGGAGGGCAGCAAGAGGCGTGGCTGCAGGAGCTGTGAGGGGCCGAAACGAAAAAAGACAGCATGGAATACGTAGCCATGCCTCTTGCTGGGTTACGATTTGGTCGAAGTTACGATTTGGTCGAAACAGTTCTTAACAATGGGCTGTGAACAGAGCACATCACTGTTTGGAGATTTGTGCCCAAGTCTGTACGATCCCTCCCCCTTAGTTCCCTCCTCTGACACGATTGAGCTGTCGACAGGGCACATTATTAGATCGGAA